TCATTCGATGCAGAATGGCTTAAAACATCGAGAAAACATAAAATTAGTAAATCAGATTTTTTGATGAGTAAAAACTTCTCCTTCGGGAAGTTAATAAAAACTTAAAAATCTGTTAAAAGTTACGTATTTTTTCATTGCTTTTACATTATTTTGTAATTTTACGAGAATATATACTCATTGTTCTAGATATTGAATCTTTAATAAATAATAATAAAAATTTAATAGTAAAACTAGTATAGAGAAAACGATTTCCAACAAATCTTCATAATTGTTCGAAGGTCTATCATCTCATTTACCCACACAATTTTTCATTCAATTATTAGTTGCAAATGGAGTACCAAAAAACCTCATAATTTCTAGAAATAAATATTATTTTACTATGCTATAATTTATTATTCCTTGTATTATATGACGTAGAAACTACCATTAAAATTTAATAAAATTACAATTTTATTTTATTTCCATTAAACTATAACTGCCTATAAGGCATTCAGTAATTATTATGACTAAAATAATGAATAATATTTTAAAATACTACCCATTGGTAGTACTGTACATTTTGGCATACCTTAGAAAAAACAGATGTGCGTGTGTGTGTGCGTATACAAATTTTTCTGTAGACGATTTCGGGCGCACGGTTCAACCAATTTGAATGGTTCAAAAAACATTCGATTCCTATTGATAGGAAGATGTGCTGATTAGTTTTTGGCAAAGACTGGTCCAGTCGTTTCGGAGATACGGAGCAAAGAGTGCAAAAATATAAATCGAGTTTTTGAGAGAAATAAGCATCCGATTTGAATGATTCAAAAAGCATTCAATTCGAAATGACGGGGAGAAGCGGTGACTAGTTTTTGGTAAAGGCAGGTCCAGCCGTTTCGGAGATACGGAGCAAAGAGTGCAAAAAATATAGAGTTTTTGAGAGAAATAAGCATCCGATTTGAATGATTCATGAAATTTTTTGATTGTTTTGTATAATATGTAGAGAAAATAATTACAAGTCCAAATTGCGAATCTTCTGAGTCTCCTGATAGGGTAAAATTACAAAAATAATTTTGTAACATACAACTTTGTTGAACATACTACTTGAGCATTAAAATCAACAAGCCTTTGTTTTCATTCATCGATAATTGAAACCAAATTGTTTATTATTAAACATCTACTAGCCTGTGAATACAATGCTTTAAAAACATTTAATATAATTCCATTACTTCTTGATTATTGCTGCGAACGTTTTGAAAACGCGACAATACAATATTTCCCAAACAATGATGACAAATTCTATGAACAATGGTACATTCGAACATTAGTAACAGGACTAAATTATTAACTATTTCTCAGAATTTGTTTCAAGTACATATAATTTCTTAAAGAAAATTCAATTTCCTCCTCTAAAAAATTGGTGTGAATTATGCCAAAGCTTTTACTGTGGTTCATTTATTAAAGTGAGTTATCAAAAATGAGTACAAGTGTCTCTTGCATATTTGAACAATAAACTTTCTATATTGATTCAAATTCTTGAAAGATGTTTATGCTTCGATTTTATTGATAAGAAAGAAAGTTTTAAACGATGTACTAAATACGTGATAGGTGTACTTGATAGGTGTTCATAATCTTGTTAGTTCCGGCGGTTATGATAAAGAACTGTGTTAATCATTTGTAACGAATTGGAATCGTGTTAAAAATTCAATAAAGATTGTATTATAAATGATGTAGTAATTTTTATGTAATAGGTTTAACAAATTTCACAAACAATAGTGACTGATCAATTATATCTGCATATCTTCGATACATCTGAAGTTTCTCTGAATTCTCTATAGATTCGTAATTTTTATAAAATTTTCAACTTTTTAAGTTTGTAATTTTTGATATCAATAACTGATTAAAATTGGAAAAAATATACTAAACTCTTATTAAATTTTTAACTTTCTAAATTTCTCGAACAATAGTAACAGAACATTTGTTGTTCATAGGTTGAGTCATCAGTATAGAGCTTTAATTTATCTACATTTTTAAGTTTAGTTTAATTTTTTATTTTGTTAACATTTTTGATATTTGTTTTATTCCTAAAAACACCAGAAAATTTTTGTATATTTAATATATGAAACCAATACTGAGATAGGCAAATTACTGGAACTTTCAAACCGTAATATAATATTTCTAAAAACCTTAAATTTATTTGAAATTTAGAACAAAATTGGCTTGAAAATTAGATTTTTTTGGAAAATTATGAAGTATTTGAAATTTGGAAGCATTTTGAAAAATTTGAAATTTATTAAAAATTTTGACCCATTCAAGTCGGTTTTCAATAGTCAAAAATATCGAGGTCATTTGTTTGAACTGTATAAATGAACACAAACATATAAATCTTATCATTGAAATAAAAATATCATAAGAAAATCATAGAAATGGAAGCAAACACTGTACTTATTATAAAAATCTCTATAAAATATCTCTTAATTTAATGTGCACGTCTACAGATCATTTTTGACCAACAAATTGCATTTTTTTTGCTTATTTTTTTCTCAATCTCCAAAACCGCTGGACCTATCTTTACTAAAAAGATAACCAGAACATTTCTCCATAAATGAGAAATGAATGCTTTAACCCTTTCCACTCGCAAATTCCGATTTTTAAAAATTTTACCGAGAGGAAAGGGTTAAAAATTATTTAAACTGGTTAATCCATACTCTCAAAATCATCGGCGAAAAGTATCTACACACACACACATACATTTTTTTATAAGGTATGCTAAAATGTTCAGGAGAAAAAAAAAAAAATTACAACTTATCCCACGAGAAGATAAAGATAATATGATTAAAAATGAAGAAATGAAGAACAAAATGTATGCCTTTCCACTGATAATTTCTTAAGCTCGATAATATATAATTATGATTCAATTAATTAAAAATTACTGTTGCAACTATTAATTATTTCTCAAATTCAGTTCTGATTTCAATAGCCACTAATTAACTATCTTCTGGTAGAAGTAATTATATAATATTATTACCACAAAAGACTTATAATAAAACCAAGAACTCCTCCGTCAATCAAAATTTATAAAATAGAAATCCATATTATAGTTAAAGACGAGTAATGGAAAGCTTCTGCTGCATAACAATACCCTAAGGAATGTATCTTCACTTTTACCTTTTATAATGGTTTTGTTTTCATAGTGTTTCATAATGAAAATTGCTTTCATAGACTTATTAATTAAAATGAGATTCAAAATACTGTTAATGGCTGATTCAAAAGTGTTAATCAAGCTTAATCTAAATTTAGTAACTGCATCTACCTTACAGAAATTATACACAAGTAATTATACATCCTATAGCAAGTCAATTTTACAAGCTTCAGTTTCCATTTAATTGAATTTGAATTGTTCCAAGATAATGCTAAGGTATCAATAATTTCACTTAAAACTTTTATACAATTCTGGTTTCATCAGGAAATATCAATTTTAGAAATTGCTGTGTGATTATCTAAACAATCGATCGCAAATAACAAAAACGATGATGCACTTTGATTATTGGAAGTGAAAACTATAAACGATATGACTAACAAAACTAATATTAAAGTTTTGATAGTCAGAAGTCTGAGGTAAAATTTACTAGAATTATATGTGATTGAGATATAAAAAAATAATTTAGAAAAGCTATCAAAACTTGCACATAAAAATTTAATAGAATATGTATTTAATCGATTTTATTAGCAATTTGTGAGAAAGATATGTTTATTGGCTTAATCATCTATCTGCATAAGATATAAATTCAGGAAATTCAAAATGACAAATCTAAGATAGATTCATTCATATCACTGAGATTAAAATAAGTCATGGAGATACACTCTTCATTTTAATTCTTTCATTAATGATAAACTAATAAAATGATTTCATTATGCAATATAAATATACATCGCCTGAAACATTTAGATAAAAATGTGCTAAATAAAAATAATGATAATATTTATTGATAGTTTAATTTTAAAAATTATTCAAGAAACATAAATGCATCATTGTTAGGATTTTGCTTTAACAAAAATAAATTATACGAAAGTCTAGGAGCAGGGTAGGCAGGTAGGTAGTGCAGGAAAAGTACATTCGATGTTTGCAGGTATTTGCCTTTAAAATTTGTCTATACAACCATCTATAATTTTTACTCGAACTGAAATATTTTTTATGCACTTTAGTACGTGATCAGCACAGGCCAAAACACGTTTGACTACCTTCTTTGGTTTAAAAGAATATCCAAGCAAAAACAATAAAGTTCAAACAAAGTCTTCCTCAAAATTATGATCATAACAGTAATTTGGCTGTCCAACTTTGTCCATGACGGAAGTGTATGCAAATTAGAACCTTCTAGAACCATGGTTCTAGAGGAGCATAATTGAAATGCACTCTCTGACTTGAACTTTTAATATTCTGTACGAGTACAACGTCAAATTCGTCTTGTAGAATAAATAGTGACAACAACGATTTTCATTGTCTATTGAGATAGTATGAATTTACGTACTATATATTACCAACAAGCAGACGATTATAAGATTTAATGAAATTTGAGTAAACTAAGAAATGCATAAGTTGCTCTTGCTTTTTTCTGACGAACAAGTTTGGGTGATCCGCGAGACGGCTTTTGCACTTGAATGAGAGAGTGCCTATTTCATTCTTCACTGCACATTAAAACGTTTTTATTGAGCAACGAAAGTTTGGGCCACAAATATACCTCAAACAAATAATAAATGAATTTTCAATTTTGAGTAGAACATTATTCAATTTTGAACAAGTATATAAATATAATAATTGGCACATGTACAAAGTAACATATGCCACATTACAACGTTTATAAAAATGATTAAAATTCAACGTATTCTTGGAATCTCTCGTTAAAATCACTTTGTGTAAGTTTAGCAATATGATTAAAAGTAATTAATTTTATATAAGTTGCAGAATCTAACCTTTTGCTAAAAAATTAGCCGTTGAGTAACTTTACGTTTCTTTCTTGCAGGAAATATTCGAACATCTCTGATGAGCGGCTCCACCTTCAACGTGACCTGGCATTTAGCTTATGCGCATCGAGTAAGTGCAAATACTTGAACATATTATTTATTTTAATTATGCAAAGGACTGTTTACGTTCTTGTTTTCATTAGTATTATTGGAAACTTTCTACTTACTATTGTGTAAAATCATTTGCTGCAAAAATAAATCTTTCTTTGTAATAAATAACCTACAGTATAGAGCTGACAAATGGGCTTGGATGACAATCTTCATTTAAAAAATTATCATAGAACTTTTAAACAAAAATAGTTATCTGAATATGTTAAATAAGAGATTGTTTGTCTTATATGAGTACGTTGGTTTCTCTGTTTTATGTAAGATCATCAGAATTTAACTTATAGATCTTTGTCCATATAAAAGACGAAGATATTAGGTGAAGGAAGAACTAGAATGTGACTAGAATGTATCTTAACTGAGAAAACGACATTTGATATTAACTGAAATCATTCAAACTAAATGCTTAGGTGTTTTTAATTTACGTGAATGAGATTTTACATATTATGTTAATAAAAAAATAAATCACAAAGGCGAACGATGAATTGTATGTTGCGTATTCGAAGGTTAGGAAAGCAAGAAAACAAAATTTATGCAGATTAATTTTTTTTATATGCTGATGTAAATACATTTCAATATAAAGTGTAATGGCAATATACATTATAAAAATATAAATAATTACTTTTATTTAAGTAGTAAATAGATAGATTCAACTGGGCCCTATTCCTTCTCTTTCCTATTTGATATTTCGCGAATCAGCTAGTTGACCTTGATAGAGAATTCAGATTTCGATGATCGTTGGTGGAGCAGTATAATGAACGACTTGTAACGGATAACACATAATGCAAATTTAGGTTTTCATATTTCAGAATTTAAATTTTAACACACTGATGGTGAGACAAACCTAGTCTAGAAACGTTTATAAAATTATTATTTAATAAATTAGTGCAAAAACGAGTATTGTTTGTTCATATTTCTAAATTAACATATATATATAAATAATATATATATATATATATATATATATATGCAACTATCCAGTTATTACATTTTCATATAATTTGAATTCTGATTTAAAAATCATAAGACTACTAATTAAAGCAAAGGGAAATGCATATGTGCCATGTAGTTGCAAAATTGAAGTCAAGAAGTCTTAGAATGTGCAATTAAAACCATCTTATTAAAAGTTATGAAAAGGAAATTATACAACATAATGCAATTAAAATAATGCACTGAACATGGGCTATATATTATTACAATTCTTATACTTAATTCAGTTTACATGATATGTAATAAGAAACATATTCGTAGTATTAAATTTTCTGTGAATAATTAGATAAATTACTAAATAGAAAAGGTTTGAAAAAATATTACATATCCTAAGATTCTAATTTTTTAATATGTCGTAAAAGTAACCTGTTGGCTTTAGATTAAACAAATTGATTTGCTTCTTAAAAATAATTTTTATCCTAAAATTCTTCTGCACATATTTTTTATAGTTATTCAAAACTGGTGCAATCATTGAAGAAATATGCTGTTAAACTAAATGATAAAAAAAATATGATTAATGATTTATTTTAGTCATTGTATATATGAATCGTTATTAATAAAAACAAATTGAAAAGATTATTACCCTCGCGCGACGTTCAGATAAATTTAATATAGTACTACTTACATTAATTAACGGATCATGTAAATAAGTTTAGTTGATAAATAAAAAAAAATAGATTAAATGCATAAAATATTACCTAATCATAACAATTTATATAACCAGTTTAAAACCACAGTACTACGATAAATGCTCGCTGCCTCAAGGTACCAATTAAAAGCAAGAATGTGCCAGTAATAAAATGTTATATCTATGCAGAAAATATTTTAATATCTTGTCATTTAGTTAAATGTTGTAAGGCAGGTGAAGGATTGATGGTGTTCATGTTATGAAAATGGTCATCAAAAATTTTAGAATTGATTAACTTGGGTAAATTTATTAGAAGAATTAGGCTGAAGTGTTGAGTTTGTAGTCAGAAGCGCATCTGGAAGTGCATCAGGATGACTGCAATTTAGGAAAACTGCTTTAAAATCTTCCCAAAGGAGAAGTTTGTGTTTTTTAAACAAAATCCGATTAGCTTTTGGAAATTAGGATAAAAACATACATTTTACGTCTCCTTCACCTAATATCTTCGTCTTTTATATGGACTAAGAATCATAAGTTAAATTCTGATGATCTCTTACATAAAAGAGAAAACCAACGTACTCATATAAAATAACAATCTCTTATTTATCCAATTCAGATAACTTTATTTGTCTAAAAGTTGTATGTAAATCTTTTAAATGAAGATTGTCATCCAAGCCCATTGTCAGCTCTATAATGTTTATTATTTATGACAAAGATTTACTTTTGCAGCAAACGATTATGTTTTCGCGGCGTTTCAAGTCATTCTGAATCGAATGAGACCAAATTGAAAAAAGTATGTGTATGTGTGGACAATCTTTCGTGGACGTTAACTTTCCTTAACTATTGATTAATCGTTTATCATCAATTTCAATCTATTTTCTTCTATTTACTATCGATCTACACCATCTAATGTTCCAAATAACTTGATTCTATCTCTCAATGCTGATTTTGACACCATATGTGTAACTGTCGCATACCTGAGAGTTTGCACATGCAAATGTAAGATTAGAAATCGTGATAGACATCAAGTATAGCATCGGAAATATTTAAATGCAAGTGACACTCGGTGGAATTTTAAATCAATGCAGGGGTTAACAACATTCATGGAAATTAATAAACTATTTAGCATTTTATATATTTCTGTTCAATATTCAGCAAAGCAAAAATTATTAAAAACCGCAATTAGTCTTGATATTTTAGACAAGATTTTTTTTTAGAATGCGGTGATAGTAGATATTTTGCTTAACTAGATAATTGCATTATATTATGCTGGATGTATGTGTGTGTGTGTGCGAGTGTGTGTGTGCGGTTACAAATTATCGTCGACGATTTCGGGAACACGATCAACCAATTTGAATAATTTCAAAAACATTCGATTTGTATTGATAAGGAGACGTGCTGATTAGTTTTTGGCAAGGCAGGTCTAGCCGTTCCGAAGATACGGGGCAAAAAGTGCCAAGTTCAGTTTTTAAAAGAACGGGGCGACCGATTTTAATAATCAAAAAACATTTACTTGTATTGACAAGTGAAGAATTGATTAAGGCAGGTCCAGCGGTTATGGACTCTCAATAAATAA